TCGAACGGACGAAATATATTCCTGAAGAACCACCTACGGGCGGAACGTTGGAGCTCTTCGCTGGCACTTTGCGCCACTCGAGCATTACTGAATTGCCGTTCTGCACTCACGAATCGCTCACTTCTTATGTATTGTCAGAGAACCAGCTTTGTTGGCATTTATGACTTCAATTTAGCCTTGGCACCAAATCTTGGCTTCATCATCGCAATCAGGAAGTTCCAACATGCTCCCTTAGTTTACTGATATTTTCTGCCCTGGAAGACCACTGATTACTATCAAACCACAGATTACTTAAACGGAGTCTGACAGCGTTTCTGTTTTGTGACGTCCTGGCAACAAATTTTAGTTAACCTACATTCATTTATGCGGCGGCAATCATATTTCGAATTTGTAAATCGCTGTATCGAGTGTTTCAGGGTCGATGTGCGACAAGTGTTTTGCTTAAGGACTGTTTTAGCTCAAAGAGTGTCGATTTTTCATCCTCAGAAATGTAGTCTCAATCCACACATTAGCAAGGGACGGCGCAAAGTTACGATCACATGACATGGCTGGCGGAGACGGTCAAGTACTCTCCACACAACTTCTACGGTCACCATGAAAACGTCACGACTCTGAAATTGTCGGCCAGCGATGTTATGGTGAAAATACATCAAAACGAAGGCATTATTTCCTTCCTTTAAATCTCCGGCTCTCTGACACGGTAGAATCTGCATAGACGACAGACTATAAAAATTCCTCGACAGCATCTTGGAATCGCTGACAAGTGAATGGTAAATTTTTCTTTTGCTGGCGATAGCATATAACGTTATCCGTACAGATATATAGCGGCTGGATATGTACGTTTAGTAACGTTGTTTCATCACCTATCGCAGGTTTTGACTACTATCCAAATCACAAAGAGTGTTACTTCTCTCCATTCCGTGATATTGTCTATCAAGCTTTGTTTACTTGGATCTCACGAAATCATTAATACAATTTGTCCATGAATCGCCATGTTCTGTTCGAAGGGTAGTCTGCACGATGAAGATGTCTTTCTGTCTTTCTTTGGGAAATATTACGGACGGTGATCTACAGTTTTTCCGCTTAGCGTTGTAGTTGAAGTGTTCTCCCTTAGACAAAGTTATTTTAGAACCATAAAATGCTTTCCTATTTTGACTGCTGCTGCCTGGTTTGCCGACCGTTATGGGGTTCATGGCACGCCTTCATTAATACTGTATGAGTACTCACTTCGTAATAATTCACGTTGTACCTCCGTGATCGGAACGCCGATCATAAATTATGAAGCGTCTACCTTCTGTAGAAAACGGTAGCGTTTCGTTAATGCTTGATAGCGAAAATGGCGCATTGCGGCTAAATCCGTAATATTGAGTAATGAACCCCCGTAGTAGTGAAACGGTGCTGTCACCTAACCGATGACGGTTGAAAAATTCAGCGACGTTGCATTTAGTACAACTTGCTAACAATTACATATAATCGATGTTAATGACAAGCGGTTTTTTCAGAGTATGATAGACAATGTTTCACTTCGACGAAACGCATATTTTAATATTGTACTAGAAGCTGTTGCAACACGTGGCTTTATTACCAGGAATTGAGCGCTCGGTGATTATAGGAATCTTCTGCGAGCAGCCCCAACGTCTCTTCGTTTGGCGTCCACGACAAGCGGGTGAAGTTTATTGCCGTCAATCGTTTGGAAGATGTGCAAGCGATCAGAACTGCTGCTTTTCATCCGAGTGGCAGGTTCTATGCGGTTGGAACCAATTCGAGGCAACTGCATATCTGCCGTTATCCAGTGCTTAAAAATTTACGGTATGACTGTTTGATCTGGAATGTAGTATACTTTATTGCCTTGGCATCTTTGACTTTCCATTAACGATTATTAATATGAAAGCTCGAATTTGCAGAAAAATGAGCACATGGACGTTCATAACATAATATTATCAGAAGGTAATAAGTAGCTAATCAGAATTAGAGCCCAGTCACATTCAGTTGGATTTTTGATGATGAACTGATCTACCAGAGACTCTTAGTTTCGATCAGGGCAATCAAAGCGAATAGAAGAGGAACTAATCCATCTGTTGACAGTTAGCTAAATGTTTTAAGGGCAAAGACTGTTAAGAGTTAACGACATTTTGCTGTGACAGATGAGGAAAATTTTTTCAATGTATGAATATTTCGTACGACCCAAAAGAGTTAAGGCTTTGTTAGCATGTTGCTTTCGGAACATTTAAAAGTGATTTGGCAGTGTCGGCTGTTAATAACGAAATCAACTAGCTATCAAGACTCTAAACTATTGTTCAAAAAATTACTGACAATTTTCGAGCATCTTTTTTCGTTTTCTTTCACCTGTTGTATTCTGAACTGTTTCCCTGTTGCTTTTCATAAAATTTTTACACACTGTTTACTCTATTGTGCGTGTTCTTTTCAGTTACACCATGGTTAGGATTCCGAGAGATTCATATTAATTAGAATTTTGATTTTTAGACGTAACGTGTGACTCCTCCAAGACAAGATTTCACTGCGTCTTACACCGCCCTCTTGCTGCGAAATCACGCTAGATGCATCTGACACTAAGGTGCCCATATACTGTGAAACGAAATATTATAATTGATCACAGTGTTCCCTTCAGTGGCTTTAGTTCATTTGATTTGCTTGCTGAGCTCATGGGAATTATTCTGTTATGCACTCTTCCTGTTACCGATCTGACAACATTCGCAGTTGTTTATGTAAGTTACGCAGCACTACATATATATGCTCTATATTTTATGCGCGTATATTACATTCACTATTACTTTTCAAGGTTTATGGCCGTAATTCGTGATTAAAGCAGATTTTTACTTTGTTTTATTTCAGGCAGTTTTAGCGCTTCCGTTAAAGATGACCTGAGGATTTTATTGATATCTTCGTTATACTTTTGCATAATTGTTTTTAGGTATGATCATGTCGCCGTCCCTCCAGAAATGGTGCTTTCGCGGCCAAAGCAACATCGTGGCTCCGTTTATTGCACCTCGTTTAATCCAACCGGTGAACTGTTGGCAACGGGCAGTAACGACAAGACCATACGACTAATGCATTTTCACGCAGAAAATTGCAACATTGGTATTTTATAGTTATTGTCATTTTTCACCCAAGCGATGTTTCTGTGATGTTCGAGAGCCACTGACAGTAGCAGATCGTACGTGGAAGTAATGTCGCGCTTATCGCATCAATGCAGCCAATGGTTGCTTTTAAATCTGATCCATATTGTCAGTACACGTTGGTCCCAATCCTCCCTAGCATCCTTCTATGTTTCCTGCAGTTGAGTTTCGTCGCAAGCTATTAAGCTACGAGTTTCGGCACACCGCCAAGGTGGTCGCTTTCATCTACAGATTTGGTCACCTTGGAACCGAAGAGAAAGGAAGTAATATCGTATGGCCGTTAATTCGACCCAGAACTGGACCTCGTCGCGCAAACTTAAACCGTCATCGTAAATGTCACATACAGTCTACCGTGTTCGTTCGAGTTCGAGCACAGCTCATGCTTGTGTGCCTCACTTTACGAATGTAGGTTGTAGGTGGACTTCAGTATTCCTGGTTATCGAATT